CCATAGAATTCTCATATGGAATCCCTATTGTGCAATGTTTGTGTTCCACCGCTTACATCACGACAGATGGCTATTGTTTTCACCGGAAGTGGATTTTTTCTCGTAAAAGCTGTTTTTCTCCTTAATGAAACCCAAACGAGCAAAATAAATGCCAAATTCGTTTTCTACATTGCTGTTTGCGTCGAATAAGAAAAATTTGTATTTTTGGGTTTACATGCCCTTTAAATGTTGAAGCTAAATTCAGAAAACTTGAATTTCAACTTGCTTCTGTGGCGGGTAGTTACAACAGTCGCACTTTACGGGTTAGCACTGAGTCTTTAACAGATACTTCAGGTGAGTGGGTTTAACAAACAGATTCTCCAGATAAGCGGGTTTAACAAACAGATTCTCCAGGTAAGCGGGTTTAACAGACAGACTAAAATAACTTCTTTCCCACTTCGATTCTACTGAAAAACTGGTTTGAAACACAATAACCTAACACCTTTAAATCAATGTATATAATTTATGTCAATCATGATTCTTGTCAACAAATAAATCTGTCAATTAAGAGGAACGACTAGGGAGTGATGTGCACTAACAGTGTGGAATACCCAGTGTATCCTCGTAAGACAGAACTATGAAAAGTTCATGCCTCTTTTGCAAATCAAACAAAAACGTCACATGTTAGAAAGGTTATTCTTAAGCCCCGTGTCCAAACGGGAAATGTTTGGCGATCAAATGCGCGATCAAACATTGTTTGGTGACCAGACATTTGGACACCTTTTTTGATCGTATTTTATCTGCTTGATCTTGTTTAATTGTCTATGATAAAATTTGAACGACGGCAGACATTTGATCAAACATTGTAAAACATTTCGTTCGTTTGGACGGTGATCAAACATGTTTAATAATACCGTTTGGCCACTCAGTACATTATCAACCTGTTTGGTCTCCAAACGATGTTTGATCGTGTTTGGACGCAAAACATTTCCCATTTGGATAGGGCTTTAGATTTGTTGTGCATCATCTCTTCAAACTGCAAACCTCGATCTCTATGACTGTGAGTTGCTGTTTCTTCAGGCTCGACATCTGATGTAAAAGCCGTCGATAAAGTACCTAGGAAAACACCAAATTTGGATCAAGATCACGAAAAGCTTCACTTCAAAGCAAACAAAAACGTGTAAGTGGAACGTCTCTGCAGTGGTAATCTGACCTTGTAGTTCTGCACAGTCGCTGTTACGTCTGCGTTCGTTGTTTTCAATGTCCACTGGAGGAGTTGACCTTGCTGATGATCCTGAAAGTTTAGAAAATTTTAAATGCTTTTGAACCGCCCTTCGTAGAGAATACCTTGAAAGTGTGTAAAAAGTTGTATCTCAAAGGAGGTCGGTCACGGTATTTTAAGTTACTTTTGTCACGTACAAAACTACCTTTAAATTGAAGGAAACCTGAAAATAACAGTTTACTAAGATAGAAAAACACCAAAGAGATACTACGATTATCAGTTGAGTGAGGCACAAGGGAAGTTTGGTTACGAAGTTTTGGCTTCAAAATTATGGTGTTGTCACGGGCAACTTACCTCTTTTCCGTTGGTAACAATGTCAACAGCCGTTGGTCGCCTGTCGCGTCGCCTACAATTTCGCGCGCTTTGCTGACTGACGTCACTGAAAGGCTGACAAGTTGCCAACGTTAAAACTTGGTGACCAAACTTTCGCCCCGCCTTACTCAACTGATAATCGAGGTAAACCGTAAGGGAACAAGGATGGTTGAGGATGGAGAAGATTGACACGGATTACAAACGAAGAGCTTGAAAAATTTAGGCTAAACTTTTCAAGATGCGCAAACCGTGACGTAGTTTGATAATAATTGGTTTCACCGAGCCGCTTTTGAATTACAAGCATTTAATGCTAAAATTAAGGGTGTTTTAACAGACTATATCGTTGCTATGATAACTTATTATACCATGAAGATGACTAACAACCTCCTTAATAAAATGTGCATGACCCGTCAAAGTATATTACTAGAAGGTGCTGGAAACTGTTGACAGCCACCTTGAGTCGATAAACGTACCGAGACGATCAACACAGTTAACCATCGGGAGACTGGTGAGAATCGGTCCATTCTCCTCGCGCGGACTTGCTGCAGTTACGGTTAACACTGGACCTAACAAAGAAATCGCCGGGATCAGTTTTTCGTACTAAACTTTATGGGTTTATGTTAAATTCTTGATCATGCCTTACCTTCGTTTGAGTCTTTAGAATTCATGAAAGCTGTAGCAACCAGCAATGGAATCACAATACAGGCCCCAAAGGCTGCTGGGAAGGCAACGCGCAGATATTCGCCAATCGATCTGTCAAACAAGATATGGTCTTCTTTATAAATGGTTTAATTCACACTTTGAAACCAATCTTTACTATCACGGATTAAAAAAAAACGCTTTCCTCCCGAGGTACAGCACCCTTATATAACTAAATGATTCTGATCTGATCTGAAACCTGTCTATGTCATGAGTTCGGAGCATAGGCCGCTGACAAAACTCCTCCAATCCCCTCTGTCCCTGACCAGGCGTTCCATCTAAGCCCGAATAAATGATTGGCCTGTGAGCACTGGACATGTATGTTTTTTATGTCGCCAGCTTATAATTTATATTAGCAAGGGACTATGACAGTCTCTTGATATCAGCTACCTCTCTAAAGCGAGTGTTTCGCCCAAGGATTCTTCATATCCTCACCTCTCTTTGTTTGCAGGATGACAGATTTGAATCCCGAGCACTGTTACTCCCAGTAAAACTCTTTCCGTACATTCAAAAACTCCTGAAACGTAACTCGCCGTTTCCTAAGATGAGATATCGAAAATATTAAACAGGTCACAAATTTTTGCTCCAGTAAATCAGTCAGACACTAACTGAAGTGACAACGGTAGTTTTGGGCCATCTCCTTCGCAGAGGTTTATAGAAGAGCGAGTTTCAACAAGAGGTGGGGGTCCTCTTGTATGTAAACCTCCTTAAGCGTGCTTTTTATCCGCGAAGAGGAGAAAACACCATCTATCCTTCTGTTTCGTTGTAAGCATGTTATGAACAGCGTATTGAAGCTACGTACGTTATTGGTCTCTTGCAGTGACGTGTCAATTTGTGGTAATCCGTTTTCTGATTGGTCTCTTACCTTGTCATTCCCATTCAGTTCTTGAAGTAGCATTGGGGTTATTAAGGTGAGAAGCGAGGACATACAGGCAAATATGACCGCGGGCACATAAACAAGAGAAGTTCTAGCTACTGACTGTAAAGCAAACCACATGCAGGTTCCAAAGATGACGGCAGTAGTGCACAAGATGACGATCTGAAAAAACAAATTCGCTCAGAATTTAAGACAATTAAGGGGGCACTTACTTGGGGCGGAAGAAACTGCAACAAAGACTCTAATTGCAGAATTTGAAGACTAATTTTCGGTTCTTCAAGCAATTGTTAATTACTTCCCCACTAACGAGGAGAGAACGAGCCTAAAACGTTTTCTAAACAGCTTCTGCACAAAGCTAAATGAGCAGAATGAAGTTCTAATCGGACTCTGAATAAAGCGGTCACTTAGTTCAAAATCGGCCATCTTGGATGACAAATGAATGTAACAACCTGCAAAACAAACCGACTGCATCGAGTCAAACTTGACTTTTCTTTGTCTTGGATATCCATTGCGCCAATAATTATGAGTTTGCTTTCAACCATGGGAAATTTTGGACCAAATGACATGTTTTTTTTTTTTATAAGCAAAAGTACCATTAATTAACATTGAAATATATGAAAATTTACCCTGGGTTTTAGCTTTTCTGTAAAACTCTTACACGTTATTTCGGTCACGATACGAGTAGTGACGATTATCAAAGGAAAGCAGGCAACTGATTCCTGAAACAAAATCAAAACAAGAGAAATATGTCAGTGAAATAAAGGTTTAAAAATAATTTCTATTTACAAGGCTAAAAAAGTTAAAAGTAAAAAACCGAACGTTTTCGACACTGGGCAAACTGAAGATGACCTGAAGATGACCGAGTGTCGAAAACGTTCGGCTTTTCACTTTTAACTTTTTTAGCCTTGTAAATAGAAATTATTTTTAAAATCAAGGCGAATATTGTGGACAAATATAGGTTTATCACTAAAGTTTGCTTGCTTTTATGCTATGAGTAGAATTTTACGGTATGTTAAGTATCTTCGCAAGATCTGAACCCCATTGAACTTTCCACTTGTTTATATATTTATTTATGTTACCAGCAGGGGAGCCTCGTTATGTTTCATCTTGCACTTCCGAAAATATAAATAATTAAAGATAGACGCTGAATACTGATTGTAGCTACAGTAAATATTTCTTACTTTTCGTAATTGAAGAGTTTCGATGAGATATAATGGAAGATAGCACTGTACAATCCGCATGGCGACGTTTGAGAAAAGGAAAATAAATCCAACCTTTAATTAGAGAAAGAGAAGAATTACGATTAAAGGAAATAGAATACTGAATACGAAAAAATTGATCATTAGAAACAAAAGTCTCAAATTAGAAATTCAGAAGGAAGGTTGTTTGAGAAAAAAGTTTACAGCTATCCTTTTGCAATTATATTGAGTCAAGAGAAGATCAAGGTAAGAGAGTGAATCCTCCATATATGCCTTATACATAAGGGAATCCATCTCAAGTTAGACATGGTACTCAGTTCTTGGTTCTCTTGGTTGAGGATATAAATTTGAGGGGGGGGGGGATGGGGCTCAGTTGTGCTTTTATAACGTGTTAAAGATAACGTCTGCGTCGAGCCAAGTGTTCCTCACCGCTGAACTAGTCCTGGTTTTCAGGGTATGAGACGACTAGAGTATTTCTACTCTCCCCTGGATGGGATGCTAGTCCATCGCAGGGTTATTATCCCCAACATCAAATTCGTCGGTAACCATTTATACACTTGGGTGAAGAGAGGCACTGTAAGGGTAAAGTGTCTTGCCCAAGAACACATCACAAAAGACTGTTTTCGATATATTAAAATTCAGCTTGGCAGTGAGGCTTAGAGGATGTAAACAAAGCAAATTGAATGACCATGTTCCCCATGTTTATTCATTTCTTTTGTTTGTGTCCTCTAGGCCTCACTATCAAGCTGAATTTAATATATCGAAAGTGGCCTATTACCCCAGCCAGAGTTTAAACCCAGACCACTCGAGCGTGCTAATCATTTCGTCACCACGCCTCCCGTAAAGGAACAATAAACTCTCAACTTTGAACTGCTCTACAATCGCGAGATGTGTAGGACCATAATAGAGTGACCAAAGTTGGCCAGAAATAACAAAACTTCTGGCTTAGTAAAAACATATAGAGTTATGAAAAAAAAAAAACAGGATCAGACGAGGTTGCGCGTTACAACGTGAATTAAATTCAGCTGACCTTGTATAACAAAGGTTCCCTCAGCCATTCAGACAAAGTGAATTTTGGCCTCTCTATTCTTGCCACTTCTTGATTTATTATCGTACTTGGTGAAGATACGTCAGCCGTCGACCGTCCACAAGTTTTCTCTGCAGTAAATAAGTTTGGGGTATTTAATGTAAAAAGCTGGAAAACATCATGCATTATTTTCTTTTCCCCTTAAGGTTGACAGAGAGAATAGGTAGATCTGCATTCGCATAAACTAGTCTACGCGTTTAGAGCTTTCATATTTCTGTAACAAGAACTAAGCGACTTGGAATATTGCTAATCCCCCTGGATGTGCTGTTTGCGTGCCAATCGCTTTTTGTCCACAATATTTTGCCAAATTTCCCTGACAGTTAACCGCCATCCATTTATACCCATGGGTGGAGAGAGGCACTGTGAGAGTTAACTGTCCTGCTCAAGAACACAAGGCAACGACCCCAGTCAGCGCTTGACTGACCAGGGGGCCGTTTCTCGAAACCCCCGGAAACTTTCCGGACCCGTAAAGCCATTTTTCGTTCATCTGTATCTAAAAACGGAGAAGTGTATACGCCTGAAACTTCTTGTTTGAAAGGAACCTCTGTCCATATTAAGAATATGTGAATAAAACAGCTCTGTAATCATAAGGTTTGAGATTTTGCTATGGTTTTCTGGGTGCGAAAACTTTTGGGGACCTTCGAGAAACGGACCCCAGGACCGCTATAGATCTAGAGTCTAGTGAACAGGCCCCCGCGCCATAACATAAGTAGTTCATTGTAAATTTATAAGGGACCTGGAATCGATTGAATACCTTCATCTTGTTTTCCTTCAGTGGGAAGATCAGCTTGTGGTCTGGGTTCTAAAACGGTCAAATGAAAGGCAAAGACGAAGAGAAAGCCAACTGGAAGAAGAATGACTGCAAAACGCTGAAATAAAAATAATATCATCAGAAAAGGAAATGTTGTATTAGGCAATTTTACTTGCAACACAGCCTATTTGTTGAATTTTAACTGATCGGTAGAGCTAAAAAAACGCAAACAAGGTCAGGACCCTTTTTGGGGCTAACCGAGTGTGTACGCTTCAATTCGTCTGGGTAATTGCCTGCGTCAGGCCAGTGGCCCTTACAGCCGGAGCTTATCCCGGTTTCTGTGGCATGAAGTGTCTAGGAGTATAACTATCCCCCCTGGATGGGATGTTAGCCCATCGCGGGGTTACCCCCAGCTTTCAATTCACCGGCACCCATTTATAAATTTGGGTGGAGAGAGGCACTGTGAGAGTAAAGTGTCTTGCCCAAGAACAGAACAAAATGAACCCAGCCAGGACTCGATCAAACGTCCAAAACGCTATCCATTGGGCCACAGCGCCTTCCCCTATGGTTCTGAATGGTTATTGTAGGTTTCTAAGACCTAGTCAAACGTCGTGCTACTGCCATGACAAACTCAAATGAACTTTTCCCGGCAGTAGCATGACAAAATTTCAAAAATCGAATTTAATTCAGTCGCACCGAAGATCGGAAGAAGTTTGCTTTGCTGAGGACCATTTTAAATGCTAGAAAGCAACGGCATCTGATGCAGCACTCCATGAATTCAGCTCGACACGGCAAGCCTAGTGGTGCAGGTGCCGTGCTGAACTTAACTCAGCCTCCCGAACTGAGTGGTTTCAAAAGTTGTGCTACTGCCGTGCTTAAGTCGAATTTAATTCTTGAATTTAGTTTGCTGACACGGCAGTAGTACCAGGTTTGAAATAGGGCTAAGCTTTACTAAGGCAGTTACTAATGGTTTACTAAGCTAGTGTCATTGAAGTTAAAATAATGATATCAAACAAGCGCCCAATCGTTGGTACACATAACACTTACCGTAAACTGCTCGCTGACATTTGGATTCACTGTGTCTTCTGAACTCTGCTGTAGTAAAGCCCAGAGCAAGATATACAGACACACCTTGCAAACGCGAACAATAGATCTGTGAACAATATTGACAAACGTCAACACCTGGTCAACAAGCTGAAGATATAAAATGATAGCAACGCTACACAATTCTCTCTAAACGTATTGACATCTTTATGTTGGCTTAGCAAAATTCTTCAGCCAATCAAAGAACAAACAGCCGCAGGTGTTTTTGTGATCTGGTAATTTTTCCATGGCCACAGATTAGGAAGCCAACATAAAGATGTCAAAAAAGCGACAAAAAGCAATAACGACGGCGGCCCCGAGGACAACTCCTAGTAAAAATTGAGTTTATATTTTACCTTCGAATTTCTAGATCCGTTCAGTGCGCCTTTTGGTCTCAGAGCTTGCTCAAGCTCAATATGTAACGCCAGCGTTCAATTCCAAATGAAAATACGAAAAATTAGCCGCCGTCGTTCGCATTCTCCAAAATACGCAGAACTTGGTCATTTCACGTTGTTGTTTTGCAGAGGACGGCAAAGGAATGTACAAAGATTTATAACGCACGTGCATAGCCATTGTTTTGCTCATTAAACCTTTTGTTTAGCGACGTTCTAGTTTCCGTTGTCATTTTGGTTTGGTAAGCTCTCTAATTAATATACCAAGCTCAAACAACGTTGATCCCAGGATATCGACGTTGAGCTGGAGAGAAGAATTCCACCTATCCGTTTATTCAATTTTGTTTTTTTGCCTCTGACCAGATCATAAGGGAATTAAGAGTAGTTTCAAATACAACACTCATAGTCACTCAAATGAGACTGATTCGGCTGTGCATGAAACATCTGCGGAAAATAAACTAAACCCGGCGCGCAAGCATATACAATTTTCAACTTTTCATCATGATAAATAGCTATACATTTCCAAAGAGATGAAAATAAGGTATGAAAAGAATAAACTGCGGTAATTCTTTTTCATAGAATTGAATATTTCGTTTAGAAACAAACAAAAGACAAAAGCATTTCTTTATATTCTATCTTTCATCTCGGAAAACAATCTAATTCACTTTCTCAGCTGGGATGAAAACCGCAGTTTTTTCGAGAACTTTTTTTTGTTTCTGTCCCTGAATTACAAACCTACTAATACCTCTCAAACTCGATTTCTTTTCTGCACGATTTATTTTTGTCTGACCTTAAAACGTTACCACGTTATTTGACATTTTCTTAGTCTATGAACATTAAAATATCTGAGTGGATGTTTGTAGTATTTAGTTCCCGTGTTGTGTGTGTCAGTGGAAATTGTATTTTTAATCACCAATTTATGCATTTTAAAATAAATTTTAAGGTTCTTGGAAAAGCTGAGATACAAAACCCTTCAGACTTTAACAAAGCTACCAAAGAAGAAATTATATAGACTTAGCATTACATTCAAAGCAATTACTTTAAATTAGGACCAGAAAAAAACAATGAAAAACTACATTCAATATTCGAGGTTTTGTTGGTCGCTTGCGGTGATTAGAAAAAAGAGAAACACGAAATATTATTCATTTGCGCTTGGCCTAAGATTCCCTGTAAGCCTACCTGGACGTTTCTGTATCTTTTCCGTTCTCCGCTCGTATTTCTGTCATCAAAGAATAATAACTAACTTCAGCAAGCGGCCAGCAAATCGAAAATAAAGCCACGGATGGTAAATAGTATGCCCCTAAGTCTGTATCAGAGCTATGATCCCCGCAAAACAAACATGGTGTAAAAGTAAGCGGCCAGGCGAACAGTACACCAGCAGAACTAACAATATGTCTTGCTTTTCGTCTTCCATACGCAGCGAAGGAATCCCACAAACGCTTGTCGCGGCCAAAACTGATCAAAAGAAAACTCGCGGCCATGAGAATTTGAGAAATGAAGAAGATAATTCCAACCGTAACAGCGGACAGGCCGACAACATTCTGAAAATAGAGCAGGGCATAGCTGTACCACACGCTCGCCGTTAGGTTGTTAAGTACATGACCTGTCTTGCAGGCAATACGGTTTCTTATCGACGGTGAATCATCGGCGTCTGGTATTGTTTCCTCAATGATGTCATCTGCGCCATGGTTGCTACACACAGCTGTAATATCACGAGAACTTTCCATCCTTCATGTTGTGAATTTCGGAGGCAAAACGGAGATTGAATTACGGAGAGCGACAGAATGATTCCCGTAAACTTGACACTGCGATTTAAATTCTCTCATACGCCAAACTAGTAAATGCTGAATACCTCATCTTATATATCAACCATCAATCTTCATTTACTGACGTAAATCATTATCTTCCAAAAAAAAAAAAAACCTGAATGACAGTTTTTCGTAGTCGGAGCGAGATTCTTATTCACTGTATTGGCTGTGCAATCAACAAAAATAAAAAATCCAATCTTTCTTTTCCCAAAACACCGGCAAAAAAATTCAACTCTCACAGTGTCCCCAGTAGTCTGGAAGAAAAATATGAAGATAATTTTCGCCTCCAGAGAAGGATACCTTTGTTGGTGGTCAAAAAACCCTTCAATCAGCGCACTGAGAGATTTTCGCGGTGTATAAAATATTTATTTCTGATTTCGCGAAAGTTTGCACTTGACGATCTTAATATTTTTTTTATTTTTTCAGCTAATTTTGAACCGTTCTTTCCGGGTTTGTTTGCTTTCGTTTCATGTTGATTAGAATACTCCATCTTAAAGTTGTAAGCGTTTTGTCATCACTGAACGCTTTGTGTAATGTTAGGAATATGTGAACAAGGAAATGCAGTCAACAGAATTATAATTTATGGCCGAACAAATCTCAGTCTTCTGAGGCTTTGCAAAACGTCTCATAAGCTCGGTGTAAACTTGGGGAACAGTGCTTAATAAATCATAGCATTTTACAGATTGCTGACTAATGAGAAAGAAAATAAGCCGAAGTTGAATCACAAATATTAACTTGGTTTTTCACCGTTATTTCAATGTTTGCTTTATTCGTTTTAACTCATCTTTTGTTAACCTTAACTTAAACAAAATTAAATATTATCGCGCGCAAACGTTCGATACATTATTTGTCTCCCTCTGTCTCTCCAATGATAGCGAAAAGATTTATAAATATCGTCTGTCTCACCCCATTCCGTCAGGAATCAAATAACCTGTACCAATTTTATTATTGGTACCAAACTGAGCAAGATTCTACTGCAATGAGGGAACGAGGTCATCTAGTCTCAATTTTCCACTCGAAATTTCCTGTTTATTATTATTATCGTTTTCAGTTGGAAGAACTTGTCTTCGCTGCATGCGAGTCAAATTAAATTTACTATTTTTTTTGTTTTGATAGTCAGTTTTAATTACTTAGAGGGAGCTCTCCGGCAATAAAGGGTCGATAGTTTGTTCTAGAACGTCGTGATGTTTGCTTTTATAATAATGGGGTAAAAGAGCTCTGTTGTCGCCAATAATAACTAAAAAATTAACCAATCTTGATCGAGTTTTGATGTAGGAGTGACAAATAAGTAAGGTTACCGCAAGCTGAAATATACCAGAATGGAACCCTCTGCCTCTCTCGTGAAAAAAGTAGGAAAAAGAGTTAAAACGATCAGCCTCCCGCAGGTAATAAATTGGTGTTTGATTTGCTTCGATCAAACAAGGATAAGCTAAGGTCCTGTTCACACTACGCGGGAGGAATTTGAAAACGCAGCTTTACTTCTACGGTTAGGTCTACCGGTTAGGTCTACCGTCCACACTAATCCTACACGAAAACGGAGCTTTTCGAAAACTCTCTTCAAAGCGGAGGAATTTGAATAGGCCGGCTTTGCGTTGTATGTATGTATGATATTCCCTAGCCAGAGGTTTACTCAAACACAAATAACCGGCGGTGATTGTTGTGTTTTCAAATTTCTGCGGCGTAGTGCGGACGGAAAACATCTGATGCGTCTTCAGAGTGAAACCTCTGTTTTCAAATTCCTCTAGCGTAGTGTGGACGGAGCCTAAAGTTGCCAATAATACCTTTTAAGGCCTTATCCGCGTACGCTTTTTCACTTTCGTACAACCTTTTTCGAAACAGCTGTACGTAAGTAAGTAAGTAATGAAGTTCAGCAGGTAGGGAGGTGGGAAGGCAGATAGATAGGAAGGCATACACCTAGGTAGCAAGTTTACACACGTTTATGCAATGTTAGCTTGTAATCTCTAGGAAGAGTGAATTATCCAACTTAACAAAACCTTCGAATTTATC